TGCTGCTGGGGCCTCCCCCACAGATCTGGGTGGACCAGACCTGGCCCACTGCCCAATCCCCCCTGGTCTTCTGCGGGGGTCTGGCCCTGTCTTCTATCCCGCTCTCCCTTCTTCCCCAGTCACTGTGGAGCAGCACGTCGGGAACATCTTCATGTTCAGCAAAGTGGCAAACGCCATTCTCTTCTTCCGCCTCGACATCCGCATGGGCTTGCTTTACCTCACGCTCTGCATAGGTGAGACCTGCTGAGGGGAACCCATAGCACTGGGGTAGTGGCGGTGCCCCCTTGGCACGGCTTGGCTGGCTCTTGGCAACCGCAGCCCCTACCTGTCCTCCACACCAGCAGGCTGCAAGGGCCAAAGCTCCCTCTTGCCGTGGGGCTGGCCTGTGGCCTGTGTTGCAGGAGGGGGGGGAGGCGGAAGGAGGGTCCGTGGGGCCCGGAAAAAAAACGGGCGACTGTGACGAAGTGCCTCAGCGAGGAGGGCGGGTCTGCCTGCCCCAGGGCTCGCTCTGCCTTGGTTCCCCCGGGCTGCTCTGTGGAAGGAGGGAGCCCCCTCCCAAACCCAGCCTGTGCCTTCCAGACACCGGGGGGGGTGGGGAGCTCAGGGGTGCTGTCGTTGCAGTGTTCCTGATGACCTGCAAGCCGCCCCTCTACATGGGCCCCGAGTACATCAAGTATTTCAGTGACAAGACCATCGATGTGAGTATCCCCGCCCCAGGGGGGTGGCAGGGGCCTCTGCCTGCCAGTCCCCCCGTGCCCCTGCGGCAGGAGGAGCTGGACCGGGACAAGCGGGTGACCTGGATTGTCGAGTTCTTTGCCAACTGGTCCAGCGAGTGCCAGTCCTTTGCCCCCATCTTCGCTGACCTCTCTCTCAAGTGAGTGGGGGGGCTCCAGCGAGTCAGGGGGGTGGCTGGGGCTGGTGCCCAGCCCTGCAGTTGCCCGCAGCACTTGCAGTCATGTGTCCCCATCCTCCCCAGGTACAACTGCTCGGGGCTGCACTTCGGGAAGGTGGACGTTGGCCGGTACACAGATGTCAGCACCAGGTCAGGGGGGAGACGGCCTGGGTAGCAGGGCCTGTGCCAGGACAGAGTCCTCGGGAGTCCCAGGGGTTACTGCCGGCCTGTCCCCCTCCTGCCACAGGTACAAGGTCAGCACCTCGCCCCTCACCAAGCAGTTGCCTACCCTCATCCTCTTCCAGGGCGGGACAGAGACCATGCGCCGGCCACAGATTGACAAGAAGGGCCGGGCCGTGTCCTGGACCTTCTCTGAGGTGGGTGGGATGCTCCAGCC